ATATTGTAGAGATTTCTAAATTCACGAGAAGAGAAAATTGGGAATTGAGATTCATGTAATTTACTAGAAATTACAAACGTTTTGAATTTCTTTTTATTTTCCACAATTTAAATTAAAATTTCATCTTCTTTCTTTCATTCTTTTTTTTTCGGTATTAAATTAAAAATAATATTTATTTTTCAAATCATCAAATTTGTCTTCAATTAAAGAATGTGTACTTTTATAAACATAAATTAGATTCAAAGATTGTAATTTTAAATATTTTAAGTGGTATAAGTTTAAATTGTATTCAACATTCTTTCACTTCTATCTTTGTTTGCTTAAGAACTATCAGTATTTTGAGTTCAAAACACGATGTTATTGAAGAAACGGTTGTTTGAATTACCTTAAAAACCCGTGTCCATTATCTCGACTATTATTTGTAATTGCTGCCTCGTACATTAGGCGCGATAAGAAATGGAGGTTTAAGCATGTCAAAGAAGTAAAAAAAAATAAGAACAGGCACAGGCATTCTTTGAACGGCCGAATCTAATCTGAAACCAGAGGAAATGGACATTATTTTCATAATTTAGAGGACAAAGAATTCTTCGAAACCGCGAATAATTCGCCTACACCCAAATGTTATTCACCACCAAGAACAACAACAATAACAAGACTTGACGATCCCGTACTTGGATTCTCTATACGGCAGTAGATTTCTAAACCTACACAGTGGAAAATCAAATATCATTATTGTTATGCTAGAGGAGAAACTTAGCTCTAATAATTAACAGGCAGATGTCTACCAGCTATTAACAATGGTTCTTGAAGAAATTATTGCATTTGTCTTGTTAACATATAATTACGTTTGTAACAAACTTCTTTATTTACTGTATGTTTTCTAATTTATTACGTAAATTTCTTTATTATTATAGCTCTTATTATTTGTGTACAATTTGTTTTAAATTCAATTAATTGAGTAAATAGTGAATGGGAATGATAAGGATCCAACACACCTAGATGTAATTTGCTCCGGCTGCAAATATCGTAAAGGCATGGGTGTTCTCTTACGATACTCACAATTTCGGTTGCATAATCGTTTCGTACAATAACAAGAAATAGAAATACATTACAGAATATATGCAATAATCGCTTACTAATAGTTCATTGACTTTTGAGAATTATCTTACTACAAAATATGTAATATAAAATAAATATTAAATTATGATTTTTAAATACAAACAAAAAAGTTTTCCCTTATTTACAATTAAAATATTCCATTTTCTCCAGATTTTCAGAAACAGCTAATGTTATGTTGTTGTTTATGCTAAATATTGTACATTATCATTTTTTTTGTCTAACCTCATTTCCTATCATTTGGTTTACTAACATAATAATCTTTTAATAATAGAATAGTTAAACTTTTCTTCAAGTTTGACAATTAAATACTTCTAAATGACAGACTAATCCAGTACATACGTTTTAAAGAATGAATATTTAGCTTTAATTTCGTTAGTTAAAAATGAACTTGAGGCTTATACTTTTTGAGTTCATTGAAAATATGAGGAAATAAACTATAAATATACTAAAACAATATGGTAAAAATAGTGTTAAAAGTGAGGTTAGAGCCTTCTGGATAATAGCTAATTAAGAACTGAAAAAAGCTAAAATAAATAATGCATAATGTGATTGAAGTAAGCGTAAAACAAAACTAAATAACTTTTAGTGAAAAATAGAATTAAAAAATAAGTATATTTCAAATTAAAAATATTTTCATAAATAAGTAACACACGAGGATTGCGCAAATCATCGGTCCAGTGAACGCAATTTCGCAACGACTCGAAACGTGCTCGAAATGACCCTCAATTAAATTCCGTGAAGACGAAAAAAAAATAAAACAAGAAGTGTAGCATTGCAATTTAAAAGAAAGGACTTTCGTTTTCTCTTAAAGAGTCGTGAACTTAACGAGCGGCGGTATTAGGGTTTCCAGATTTAGCGCTTGAACTCGCAGTGTGTCATAAGGTCATATACTAAATCGAATTAGAGATCCGTTAGATTTGCGTTTTTCTCGAGAGGAAAATTATAAATAAAAAAAAATAAATAAATAGGAAAATAATATTCATAAATTGTGGGTGTGTGTGAGAGATTCTTTTCCTACGTTGAAAGTCCTTGGGATTGGCATGTAGGTAGGTGCAAGCCCACGCTGATACGAACAATTGAATTCGTATCGAAGATGAGTCGACCGACCTACTGCAGTTGCTGCCTTCCATAATAGACATCCAATTTCCTAGGAAATGGAACGACCGAAAAGTAGAAAAGAGAGATAAATATAGTATGGAGAGAATAAAAATTGGATCGCAGCAGCAATTACGTCAAATGTTTGAGAATTGTATCCGTGGTAACGGTTAATATCAACGTATCGATCTAACTTTCACACGCAGAAACGAATCCATAACGACGACAATGGTGGTAGTAACCGACTCGAACTCAGTCTTCGGTTCTCGATGTTATTAATAAACAAAACAACAACAAAAAAAAAGTTGATGCAGAGAACCCAACCCAATTCTTGAACTTTGAATGCGCAACAGCTAATGGGGAAACGTGCTCTTTGTTTCTACGCTTGATAGAAAATTTCTTTCCGTCTGCGACAAGATAACATTCTATTCAATTTTTCTATTTTCTATCGGAAGATCAGATCTTAAATGTTCATTACCTAATTGCCATATCGGAATTAGTTGAACTACCAATTGAAAATTAATTAATTGCCTCTTAATTAATTAATTAATTAACGTAACAACTGGATCGTTTTCAATTTATGCTACGTTTTAAACATGTAAAATAGTTTACTAAACACTTGTTTCGAAAGTCGTTTAATTAGCTGCACATATTAAAAATGCTTCATTCACAGATCTCCATTTTTTTTACTATAATAGATTAATTAAGTGTAGTAAATCTATAAACTTATGAATGATGAGTATTTAATGAAACGTATTAATGTTCAACCTAGAAAAACAAACTAGTTTAAATATGGGTCATTCTCATGAGTTTCTCATAATATTATCGATAGTCGTTTTTAATAATAGCAAATAAATATTATAAAAAAACTGAAATATACGATTGCAGAATATAAATTTCAAGAACTGCTATAACTATTATATATGTAATATTAAATAATCTATTCAAGAGAAGAAATAAAGATAACACTAATTGGAAATTAATCTACAAATTGTAGCTATAAAATCTGCATAAATCTGAGATAAGAATGAGTGGGTGGTCTATCAGGTTACGAATTTCATTTCTATAGGATTTGATTTCAACAAATGAACATTTCTTTCTTACATTTGGATGATTAGAGAGAGAATTGGGACGAGAAAGCAATGAACTTGTTTTTCGTGCGGGATTAAAAGAGGAAATATAAAAGAGTTAGAAAATATAGTGGAAGCAGATATCATAAATAATTTAGAGATACTGAAGTGCTTGGGGATTTGCCAGAAAGGAAGCGCGGTTGGAATGGAAGTCAACAAATTGCTGTGTGATTTAAGATGCGAAATTGCATACACCGATTGCCAGAAGAAAAGGACAAAAATGAATAACTGAAAATAACAATCTAAATAGCACAAATCAAAAAGAAGAAAAAAGAAACAATGATCTCTCTTTTCCTGTAACGATATTCCAATACGTGCAAGTAGATTTTTTTTTTAAATAGAAAGGCTTCATTTCGAACAAATATCGCTTTTATGATTGTTTAAAATGAACGTGTTCCTTTGTTGTTGAGTTGAGAATGGTTACGATTTATGCATTAAGAATCTAAAACAGTTTTTTTTTTGTTTGATTATGAGTGAAAAAATGAAGTTGTATGGAAAGAGGTTGAAATAGTTTGGATATAATTGTGAACAGATGAACGCAGAATGTCATTGATTAATATGACAAGAATTTAAAACAGTTTTTTTTAATTCACAATAACAATATGCAAATAAGTTAAATGAATCTGGATGAAAAAAAAAATAAAAATGGACGAACAGATGATTTAAATTAAGCGCAGTTTGTTTACAAAACAGAGTAATTTAAAAATGACCTTAGATGTAGGAAACACGGTGATTAGTTGCATTCCCGACTCGCTCGGAAGACGTTAAAATCATCAAGAGGCATGAATCATAATGTATTCAAATGTTTGTTTTATGTCTACGTTGATAACTAGTTTCAAATAATACGTTCTAGTATTTATAAAATAAAGAATTATCATGAAAAAGTATACAAGTTGTACTTCCATTATCTAAAAAATATTAATAATTATTTATATAAAATCCACAAAGATTTAAATGATTTTTTTATTGTTACTAACTTTTTTGTCTAAAATATAATTATAAAACAATTTTTTATATGGTGAAAAATTAATAATGTTGTTATTTCTAAATAGCAATTACTTTCTGAGTTTTTATAATATTCTACGAAGTATGAAATTTGGTATAATTATTTTGTGACTGGCAATTAATTTGTACGGTGTTATTAATTATATTTTTACTATAGTATTAACATTGTTTTTATATTAAAGTACTGCAAGATATTACGAAATATTAATTACGTTTATATTCTTCAAAGATTTCTGTGTTAATTTTGTTAATGTCCAATATCTAACGATAATTAATGGTTGATGTATGGGTTTGGATGTGGAGTAAATATTGTTTAATTATATGAAATTATAGGAGCTATCATGTATCCATTAACCTTGTTTGGTTAACTTTTGTTTTGTTCTCGTGTGTACATTTCTCTGCGACGAAAGGTTTTTTGTTTTCTATGCAAAAATTAAAGAAATTCGGTTATTGGAACAAATCGCTGCAGTGTTGATAAAAATAACGAATTCTGCGAGCGCACTTTCTCTCGTGAAAGCACAACGAATTCCTCGCAGCAATCCCTTGATCATTGGTGCTGGTAGCTTCAAAAGGAAAATCTAATTTCGGACCTCCTGCAAAAAAGCCCCGGGTCTCCGACCCAATTCTCACGTCCCGCATCGATTGACTTACATTAAGAACTGTAATCCGAGCGGCTATAAACAAAGTCCAAATCCATTGGTCGTTTCCAAGAATGTTCTGCTCAAAATTTCTGATCGCCACGGAAAATTGTTTCAAATCATCTTCGCACGAAATAGTTTTGCTGCGACACAAGCTTACTACACTGGACACTTCGGGAGGGCACGCACCACGCATCAACTAAAGAAAACTCGTTCTTGTACCGAGGAGGAGCGCGATTTGTTCTGCGGTGTTTGGAAAGGAAGAACAAAAACCGGCGCGATGCGAGCCTGCGAGGTAAGTGCAGGATTGAGGTCAGATTCGCGTTTTCTATACGGGCCTGCTGCAACGCTTCGAAGGCTCCGAACACAAGCCGACAATTGTTGATGATGGTAATGATGGTAAATGGAAAACGGATGAGAGCCGGCCGTGGTCTCTCCTGCCTCCACTCCGCTCTTTCCTCTTCCCAAAAATAATAAAAAAATAAACTACAATCAATATAGAAAATTTTCAAAGCTTAAATCAAACGCAAATAATACATTGCAAATAACATCCTTCTATCCTTGCAGGACTTTGCGAAATCCTATAATTAACATTTCCAGAAAGCGAGTCCGCAGTGCGATATGACTTTTATACTCTATTAATCGTTCAATTTGCACACGATTCTTAATACACACATGCAATTAGTTTATAAATTCTGCGCGAATTGCTCGGAATTAATGTGCAATGCACGCTAATTTCACTTATCAACTTTTACTTTATCACAAGTACGCAATTCCTACGTTAATTACTAATTGGAAGACCATTGCGCTCAATTTCGAAAACAATTTGAAATTATCGTATATTTAGTTGCCTACACAGCCAAAAATAATATTGCGTCATAGTAACATATAAAGGGAGGCAACTTCTACAACAGCTTATAAAAGCATGCCTGTATCACGAAAATTCGATATGAAAGATCGTTGGTTCGATCCTCAAAAACCAACAAAAAATTGAGGAGGCCGATAAACCAGAAAAGGGGTACAAATTAGGTCAAAAAGATTTAAATCAATAATAAATTGATATAAATCTCTTTATTTAAAAGAAAAAGAAAGAATTTTATCATTAATATAAGTAATATGAAATTATTGATTATGTAATTAAAATATTTAACTTACAATAAAATATTAACAGCATTACAAATAATTCAGTGCAGACACACTTTTTGAAGTATTAATTTTCACTACTGTAATGCAAATGTTTTCTGTTGCTATGGAAACGTCATACAAATTATATTTGTTAATCCAAAGCTGTCTAAAATACCAAAAATAAACATTTATTTAAATCAGTGGTCGGTGAATCGGAGTAAATTACCCCAAATGGGGTAAAAGTGAATTCTTGGGGGTAATGAAGACGTTCATCATCTATGTATCCATTATAAATATAATGTCGACTTTTATCAATTTTCATTATTATAGATCGTTAAGAAGATTGCATAAAAGAATAAATGTAATAATTTGTATTGGATAAATTTTATTTTACAACTATTTATAAAAATAATGATGAATCAATAAGGTAAATAAAAATTTTCAATTGTTTCTTAACTACTTCCACGTCCCACTAAATACGAGATGATGTCAGTTTTTTTCCTGCAACTTTTGATTATTAAATTCTATACAATTATGTCAGTTACTTGAAATAAATATATATTCACGCAGTTATACTTACTTTACGTAATATGTAATTTGGTCTATAAATACACATTTTGATGGACTCAATGTCAAGTTACAACATTTCATGATATTTTTTACAGCAATTACAAATACAATACAAATTAAAGTTAATGTAAATTTATAAATAAAAAAGTTTTAGTTCTAATTGGATTCATGATGTTTTTACTTTATCAAAATGTCTACTGAATCTATAGATAATGATTATTATAACATTGTTATTTCTTTATAATTCTATAATGTACTTATTTAAGTAGTTTTTTTTTATATAAGTTAATGTGTTTTATTCAATTATTAAACTTATTGAAGAATGTATCTATTGGAATTGCTTGTAACGAGCGTCACGTACATCCTGAAGCTTAGCTTTCTACAATCGTGATCGAATAGGAAGAATCTCGCAGTTCAAAGCGAATAATTCGAATTTCTCAGAGATCACGGTATTTTATTCACGGCTCTCCGGTTAAAAAAAAAACGCGAAGAATCGAATCGTCGCTCAACCGGAAACGTGCAGACAAATATAGCAAGAGAAAATAGCTTTTGATCTTTATAAAATAAAAGAAAATAAGAATATACGCACGTATAAAAGTACAGTTAAACTAACATTTTTATATTTGTTAAAGAAATTAAGTCTTTATAATCCGGTTTGAACTATAAACTGAACTGGATTTGCATTGTTTACAGCGGAAATGCGAGATTCTAAATTTAATCCGGGCTTCGGTCCATTCATTAAAACATAACGTAAACATAGATTTTGATTTTTTTTTTTGCTGTATCCAAGGCGAATTTTAAGTTAAGTTAAACATTTGGAAGTAATTATAGATTGTAAATAATTGATGTAAACATTGAAGAAGCAATCGGCTTTAGAAAGATATAAATAAAAAGAAATGATGATTCACATTTGAAGATGAATCGATGAACCCGTTGCAGGATGAGACGAAATAAAAATAAGGTTAAATTTGTTGGTAATTTTTAATTCCTCAATAACCCTATCTACCGTTCGATATATGATTAATCCAATAACTAGAAAGCGTATTTATAGAAGAATTCGGCAACGTTGTTATAACATAAATATATTTATTTGTTGTAAATGATACACGTTTTAATTAATTTCTTTTTTTTTGTTGTTGTTGGTAATCAGATAAGAGAGAAAACAAAGAACTGGTGTTCTGGTGTTTAATTGCTGTGTGCATGGAATCTGGTCTACTGGGATTTCGTTTTTGTTTTGTAATTGTTTTTAAGTAAAAATGTTGGCGATCTTCGATCTTCCAGAAGAAGTCACTATAGTCTGTGATGACGTGTGTAACCACGACGAGACTCATTGATCTTACGGAAATTAAACTAAAAGGAATAATGAAAGAGACAAGAAAAACTGAAATGAAGGAGAGAACGGAACTTATGCTCTGCCGTTCAGACATTTGTTGATAAAATTGTAGACGCTAGTTATGTAATTCTCTCGGTGGTGACTGTAGTGCTTCACGTGGGGACTCTTGTCGAAGCAGACGGAGCTCACCTCGATGCCCATCTTCTCTCGGTGCTTGGAGAAATGCTCCACATCCTGAAAGTTTGATGATTTTATAGGAAATTTTATTTTTTTTGGGGATATTGATATTTACTTGGAATGGTATTAAATCGTCGGCTTTGGAGTAGATGAAGTGCTGCGGCCATTTGTTACTCTCGCACTTGAGCTTTTCGAATGGATCGGATTGGAAACTCTTCTTCCGGTTAATGTATTTGTTGATAATCTACAAAATTAAGTGTGAATATGTAATTTTTTGGATTCGCTGTTTGTTGCGTTTGGTAATACTTCGCAAATCCAAATCATCGAGCAGACCATGGTGATGAGGAACGACATGGGGAAGTTGTAGAGCATGCTTCCACCAAGTATAGCGGATATCGCTTTATACAAGCTGAGGATCCTCCTTCGACCTGGGGCCGAATCGAAGATGACTCCTTTCACCTTTAAAGGATTGAATTTAGTTTTAATCGCGCCCGGTATCGATTGAAATTTCTATTTACTTGTATCGGTTTTGGACTGTTTTCTAAAGCCATGGAGAAGTTCTGGTAGAGGAAAGCTCCTCCGTTCGAGAAGCAATGCACGATGACGGGATGCGTTTCGAAGTTCAGATCCAGCAGCAGCTTCACCAGCTTCTGGCCGATGGTGATCATGTGATAGCGTTTCCAGAAGAGGCATTTCACCGGCGCTATGTACCTCAACGTGATCAAGCTGCGAAAAGGGATGAGGTCAGATAGTTAATGATGGATGATTAATAATCACTCACCCTTTCTCCTCGTAGATCTTCGAATATTTGGCCAAGTACTTGTCCTGGCATCCGGCCCATCCGAAGAGAAGGATCACCGGGACCTTCTCCTCGTTCACAACGAAGACGTAATCGTTGTCGTTTCCACCGCCGTTCGTCGCGAGATTCGTGCTCGGGAATTTTATGTAATACTCCAGGCTTTCCGCTTCCTCCGCCATGGCTCTCTCTCTCTATATATACGAGTATATATAAATTCAAGGATTTTCCAACTTGCTTTTCGACAACTAACTGTTGGCTATGCGCGAGTTTTCCGACTGTGACGGCGCCTATTGATCGACATCGCGACGTCAACCAGAAACGGAACTGGACGCGCGCACTCCCCTATATACCACAAAAAAATACATAATTATGTGCACGTCAAAACAACCGGCACACATAAAAAACAAAGATAATGACGAAGCCGTTTTGGCGCGAATCTTAATGAGCGAACGTTAATTAAACGATCGTTTTGCATATTAGAACGCTTGGAAATTCAAAGTTTTTTTGAGCTTCCGTCAATTGTATCAACTGGCGACACATCGTGGAGCGTCGTCGAACTACTCGAGCGCAGATGGTTATCTAACTAACGATGTTGTAACAGTCTTATTCAAAAAAACGTTACGTAATAACCGGCGCAACGTATATCAATTAGTAACTAGCAAACAAACATCAATTAAATAAGCAAATGACTCATTCATAATACCTGTTCCTAGGATTGCTGAAAGAACTGAAGCTGAGGAGGATCAGTATTTACTGATGAAACAATAGTAAAATATGATTGAATATTTGTCGTAATACTGAACTATACTCATAAATATTGTTCCTTTTAATTTAATTATATATCAAGGTTGTTTTTTAGGAAATGTTTAAGATTTCATTACTATATGTACAATTATTTATTTGTAATATTATATTTGTTTAGTCTATAAAGAAAGATTACAGATTATCAACAATAATTCTAAGCGAAGAAATTTCAGTTATAAAAGGATTTTTTTTTTGGTTTTTCATTTA